CATTAATAATTTGTTATATTAATAATTTGTTATATTAATAATTTGTTATATTAATAATTTGTGATAATAATGTTATATTAAATTATATTTACAGATATTCTGTACTGAAATGTCAATGTTTTTCCGTGAATACCATAATGGCATGTATTCATTGGGACCATATCTATTGTCAAAAATCTTTATCAGGGTAAATTATATAATTATATAGCATTAATTTTTATATTTTATTTATAATTGTAAACAAGGTCAGTTTTGATTATAAATTACATAAATCAACAATTGTTTTAGGTTATTAATTATTTATAAGTATTATAAACCTAGAACTTAAGTCACATTTTATATTTCATCACTTTAGATATTATATTCATGCACATTTGGTGTGATTTATATTGCAATCGTGTATTTCATGATGGGCTTAAATGATGAACCTATGGCGTTTGCTATTTGTTTGGCCACAAACCTATTATCCATTATAGCATCTATATCTGCGGGTATAATCTTTTTAACCACAATTCATATATAAAAAATGTAATTTATGAAATTGTGCAGTTACCCTACCTTTCCCCAACCTACAAATATTTAAGTTGGGATTACAAATTAATACCATGGTAATACTTGAACATGGGTCACTTTCATATGATTGTGAATGTGCTTATAATCCACAATCATTATAATGACATTTCTCTATATGTCAGGCTTTACTATGGGTTTCTATGTGATTACAACTTAAGTCTATGCATAAGCTTAACATGGACAATGTTAAGTCTATGGCAATGCAAATACTAACGTGATAATGTTAAGTATATGGGAGTGATGTTATTCCAATGGGATTATGCCTTTCCATTTAGATATTTGAAACAACCCTAATAATTTAAATAAAAATATTTGTTAAAAATATGCTAACTTCTCACAATGACAACATTAAAACTCAATTTAAAACTATCTAAAATAATTACATTGAAAATTTTGGGAAATTCTTGCGGAGTGTGATTACGGGTTAGCATTGCGTGCAAATCTTGTTTATTCTATTAACCATTTACCAGTGGTAGACACTTATGTTATATAAATTGTAATCAATTATAATTATTATTACAATTATCGAATATAATCAAGTAAAATACATTAACTACCATTTTAATATAACAAAGTGATAGTTTATTATTAATAATAATTTATTATTTATACTGTGATGCTATTTCAAATTAAAAGCAAATAATTTGTAATTTAATAATTTGATTAGGTTGTTTTATATCGTCAATTTCATCTACCCCGGAAATGGCCATGGTGTTACTTACTCCCTTTACCGTGATCGTTGAGATGTTTGCTGGTCTATTTATAAATTCAGGGTTTGTTTTTATTTTATAATTCTATTATATTTAATCGTAAATTAAATTTACTACAGTTTCCCCTCTATATCGACGGCTTTGATATAAGTGGGAAACTACTATAGATATAAGGGGCTTAATTTTGACTCCCAGTGGGTCCCTTATATTAAGGGCTGACTGTAATTTGTGGATTGAATTAAAATTATTTATAAAATTATTATCTGCCAGAGAATTACCCGGATGGTTAAGTTGGCTTAAGTACACATCATTCCTTCACTACAGCTATGAGACACTTATGGTAAACCAATGGCGATATATTGATTATATACCATGTTTGAATGATAGCCAATCAATGGGTCAATGCTATAAGAATGGGACGAGCGTGATCATATCTCAGGGATTTTCCGTCAGCAACATTTATTGGGATCCAATCATGTTATTAGTTTTAATTGCGTTATTTTTAATTTTAATTTATATTGGTCTAGTTGTAAAAATTAAACGAGTTAAATAGCTATGATCATTTATGTGGAAATTTACTTCATATTAGATTATTTACATAAAATCCGAATATTATTTCTATTTTATATATAATCTATTAAAATTTTTAATTAAATTATATAATTTAGTTTAAATTTGATGTAATTGTATTAATACTGATTTAATGAAGTAAATACTTTTAAATTCTAAAAGTTTAGAGAACTGTAATGTATATAAAATACAAATTTTTGTTTAATGTAAGAAACAAATGAGTTTTTTTTGTTATTTTTCAATAGTTTTTTCATTTTTTTCAGAGGAAAACAGAGATTAGAAACCTTTGTAAAAAACCTCTCGTAAAATACATACAATATATTTAAACACAATTAAAAATACAATACAATTTAAATTGACATTTAAATGTTACAATAGATTATTCCAATTGTTGTTATTAATATTATTAATAGCAATTGAAATAATTCATTACAACAGTTAAATAACTTCTTAAAAAACAACTTATTATTGCAATAGTTTACAGTTTATCGCAAAGCTAATCACATTTATTAAAAAATTATACATTTAATCTACCACGAACAAATTGTTAATAAAGTTAACCTAACGATGTTTAACACCCACCACAATTCGCTTGGCTTTTAATTGAAAGGGATGTGGAATGAAAACAAGGGGTATATCGGTGTCGGGCACCGCATAAAAGCGGAATTGTTGTAACATTTTGGCTACGAGTAGCTTCACCTGAACCAATGCAAAACGCATAGCAACGCACTGACGGGGCCCCGAACCGAATGGGAAGTGTGTATAGGGTGTGATGTGAGCAACATTTGGGCGCATAAATCGGTCGGGTCTGAAGGCAAACGGGTCGGGATAGTAGTCCGGGTCGTGTTGTATGGCATACACCGGGATCTCAACCATTACTCCCTTATCAATGCGAAGCGTCGATCCGTCGCCACTACCAGCGCTCAGCACTACGTCCTCCTCCGCCACTCTCTTCAGCCGAACGTCTGCCGGATATTTGCGCAGAGTTTCCGATATAACGGCGTCGAGGAGTGGGAGTCCGCAAAGGGTGTCGTAGTCTATGTCTCCGTTGTGTGCATTAAACGCCTCTCTGGTCTCCGCCATCAACCGGTCCTGAATGTCGGAATTGACGGCCAATTCATACGTACAGTACACCAGAGTAGACAACTGGGAGGTTAAGCCGCCGATGAGGAATGCGCTGCACTGGTCGACGATCTCCTTCTCAGTTAACTTCTTATTCAAGATATCACTTGAGATCCGTTTCCCTGCCATTGACTCATTGACTTTGCTATTAGGCACGAGACGGGCGGCGTCGGTGTCCGCACCCGCTGTCATAGTGTGGCCATTGGTGTCCACTCTCTCCAACTCGTGGTCCCCCTCCCCCTCCCCCTCCCCCTCCTCACTGTCCTCTCCCTTCGCGTCAGTCATTAATTGCAAGAAATCGTTGTATTTTGTGTCCGTTTTTTTGCGCTCCGATATTAGACTTCGGACGACATCATTGAAATACGTGTCACTCGACTGTCCGCCGCCGCTGAAGAGCCCCCACCAGATCGGGCTATTGGCCACACGTGTGGGCACAATCATTGTCACCAATTCCTTACACCTGTTAGTCGTAAACACGGCGTTGGCTTTCGTGAGGAACGGATGGTTTGGCTGCGAATAGGGATGAAATTTGGTGGCAAACGCTGTGCTGGCGATCACATCCATAGTATATTCACCCATCAGTCGTTTGACATCCACTTGCGTTCGCTGACCACCGGTGGACACCCTTTGGTGCAAAGCGTGCATAAACTCGTGACAACACTCGTTGATGAGTGGGTACAGGCGTTTCAATTTGCCGGAAGTGAATGCGGGGCTCACTATAAGTCGGAGTCGTTTCCACTCGTCGTCGTTGGAGTTGAAGAGATGTTTCGGCATATTTGGCGCTATTTTACGGCTC